GATTTTGTTTATTTTTCAACATAATCTCCTTTAAGCTCTATACACTTTTCCAAGCGTTTCTCCAACTTTTTTAAGCCATCTAAAAAGTAAGATTTCGGAAGGTCCTCAAAATAGGCATTTGTTTGGGCAATGACCATCTCGTTTGACGTGAATCGTTGTCCACCAAGCCATTTTTTTAAGTTTGGAAATAAAAAAAAAAGTCACTGGGGGCCGAATACGGTGGATGTGGTAATAATTCAAACTTTAATTCTGTGATTTTGGCCATCGAAACTGCACAGGTGTGCACCCGTGCATTGTCTTGATGGAAGAGGATCTTTTTCTTTTTCAAATGAGGACGTTTTTCCTTGATTTCTTCGCTCAACCAGTGCAATAATGATGCATAATACTCTCCAGTTATTGTTTTTCCTTTTTCCAAGTAATCGTTGTAAATGATTCCGCGTGTGTCCCAAAAAACCGTGGCCATCACCTTCCCAGCCGATTTCACTGTCTTCGTTTTCTTTGGAGCCCTTTCGCCTTCAAAAACCCACTGTTTTGACTGTTCTTTGGTCTCATGGAGTATATCTAGTGTATCCATGTTTCGTCCACAGTTATGTATAGACGCAGAAACTCGTCAGGATTGCGACGAAAAAGTGCCAAAAATGCCTCAGAGTCGACCACACGATTACGTTTATTCTCCACTGAGAGCAAACATGGCACCCATCTTGCCAAGATTTTTTTCACACCCAATTTTTCCTGCAAAATTGAAAACACTGTACCTTGTGATATGCCTGTGGCCTCAACTATTTCACGCACTTTGATTCATCGATCACTCAAAACCATATTGTGGATTTTGTCAATCATTTTGGGAGTAGTCACTTCCACTGGACGTCCCGAACAATGTTCATCTTTTGTGGATGTATGACCACGTTTGAACTCATTTACCCAATTGTAAACAGTTGCAAACACAGGAGCAGATGTGCCATGAACTTCATCCAACTCAGCTTTGATCTCTTTTGATGTTAAGACTTTTAAATATAAGTGTTTAATCACCACTCGAAACTCACTTTTTTCCATTTTTCTAAATAAACAAAAGTTTCTTGCTTCAATTGACAATAAAAATTAAACCATATGATGGATATGACTGAGATTTTCACAACTGTCTAGTGAGACATCATGCTTACAAAAAACGCGCCATTTTTGAGGCTACGAGCGCCATCTATTGGATTTTCTAAGGACTTATTGAATGACCCACATACTATAGGAAACAAACTTTAATCTTTCATAATTCAGCATTCCCAAATTTCCTTTCATCTCCATATTAGAGCAAAATCATTTTGTAGAAATGCCATGTTGTATGAGGGATACCTATATATATGTATGCAGTTATGCAATGATAAACCTGACATGGAATTATTATTGCAAAATTTCAGTCGGAAAATTTTTCTTATCAATTCCCTAAGCATAATGATACGAAAATTTCAGAACTTTGGAACCTGATATTTTTGAATGGATCATCAGATCCAAATTAAAGAACTTATTACACATTTTGCTTAAATATTTTAAAGTCTGACTTAATTTGAAATTTCTCAAAATAAATAATAATTTAAATTTCAAATTATTAATGATTTATGATCTAACTTAAATTGTTAAAAATATTCAGAAGTTAATGTTTGATAGAGAATTTGATTTGTCTCAATTGAGAAAGAAAAGATTTGTTTGGAATATTATCATGAAATAAAATTGAATTTCAATATATTTTAAATGCAATAAAGTTTTTAGAAAAGAAGCATTTCAATTTTCTTTCAAACAGTTGCATAAATGTCATTACTTAATATGGAATAATAAAAATTATTCCAAACATCAATAAACTGAAAATATAGGCTTAAAGCAAGAATTTTCATTCTTTTTCTTAGTAGAAATGTTTCAAACTTATGCATATTCAAATAGAATATAATATACCCAAACAAATACAAATTTGAATTTGTTTAAATTTTTTTGAAGTATAAAAATATGCTAGTAAATTTGCCTATCAAGAATGATGGATTATATGATGTCTACTAAAGTGAAAGTAAATGAAATAACTATCAAGTACAGTATTTTATCAAAAAAGAAAAAAAATATGATGATAAAATATCTTTGTGATAATTTTTGACTAGGAGCAATCAATGGCATTCACAGTTGTAGCCCTTAGAGTTATTTCAAAAATTGGCTTTCATCACTGCTTTGACAAAGGATATGAATGCAGGTAGAAAAATGTACCAGTAGCTGCAGAATATACTTATTTTGAAGGTGGTCTTCTATAAATATTTGCACTATAAATTTAGTAGATGCTACATAAAAACTTTGGTTTATTGTAGATGTATAAATACCAAACATTCATAAGTAAATTAATTCTGTTTAATATAAATTATTGCAATAATATGGGCTAAATTTAATTTGTGTTTTCACCAAATGAAAATATATCTTTGTATGTGTGTTTGTGTAGATTATATGAGTGATTTTGCATTTCTATTTATTTGATATAATTTACATTGGCTTATTTTAAACTACAAAATTGAGATGATTTCAGTGTCTAATAGAATACTTAAATCATATTTTTTCCAATTATTTCAATGTTAAATAGTTTTCTGATTAATAATTAGATGACTTATCAATCATTAAATTACAAAATTGATTTTTTTTTCCTTTTGTGAATCTGTTATTGTCACTCCTTTCATTGAAACATTCTAGCTTTGGACTTCAGCCAAAGAACTATAGATGTTTTTCTGATTAGATTTTTTTTATTTCTTTAGTGGAAATTTATAGATGATAAGTATAGCATTTGCTCTTTTAAAATTATGTAATTATGCTAATTTTAAATATGTCCTAAATTCATACATGAAAAATTAAACATTTTTAATGTATTTATGTAGAACTTATTAATAAAGAAATGAAACAGCAATTAAGCTGTATAATTTAGTTTCTTATCAGTATAATAAACTACATTGATAACATTTTAAGTGACTTTTTATATCCATCAATATCCATAAGTTTTTTAAACACAGAAAGTAGATATTTAACATTGATAGCAATTATAAGGAATATAATTGATTAGTGTTGTGACATTTATCAAATTTAATAGTTTTTGCTTTTTAAACGAGAGTAAGTTTATTCTAATAACTTCATATTTCTCTAAATTGCATATATTTTTAATTACATTTTTCCCCTGAATTTTTGTTGTTTAGACCATTTTTGCAGGTCTGACAATTGGTGAAATTTTAAAAACAGCTTTACATAAGGTAGACTTCACTACTGTTTTTGTTGTTTTACAAACATGACAAGGTAAGTTCTTGACCTAAGGCCAGGAACACACACGCGTAAAATTTTGCATAAAATCTAGCATAAAACAGAGGGCGTAAAAATTTTTCTGAAATTTTGGCTGAAACATAACTGAAAAAAGAGTAGAGCATGTGTTTACTTTTTACACCAAAATTCCTCCAATAAAGAGAAGTTTTTGTGGCATCAAAGTAGACACGGGATTTTATTCTAACAATGGTGGCAATGAGGGTTAACCCTACAATTGTGATGATCTCGAAAAAACAAAAAATAAATGAAATAGAGGAGTTTATTGAATCTGTTTGACCACATTATAAAGACATTGCATTTAAACAACGTTTATGGATGACTATAGGTGCTAAATTTCAAATAACAGGTAGGTCTGGTGGAATCGATATATAGGCCTAGTATTTAGATCACATGTTCTTTATTTGAATTCAGAATACAAGTCTATTAATTTAAATTTTCTATATTATAACAGAGGAAGTGGAGAAAATATGGAAGGCACAAAGGGATAGATATATGAGAGGAAAAAATTAATAAAATGTAGCACTGTTAGTGGCAGTGGCATTTCCTATTCAGCCAGAATTTTTATATGTGTGGTTCTGGCATAAAAGTGTAAAACAGAAACTGAACCAAAAGCTGATTTCTGATTCAGTTTTCTGCCACACAATTTTACACGTGTGTTCCTGGCCCAACACAGACAAACAAATTTTTTTAGCCTAATTTACAACCCTGCATAGTAGCAATTAGGCTAATTATTATCTGATAACATTATATGTACAGTACATTAAAACATTGTAAAACTGTCCAAGTTTCACATCTGCCTGTTATAGTTTTTCAGCAGGTATAGCTTGCATCATACAACATGCATCCAACTGATGTTCAAATTCTTCCCTCACTTGCTATGGCATATGTCATCACTCCTCTCATGGCAGCCACATTTCTATGGCTGTTACAGATTACTCATATTACACAATAGCAAATGATTTTGAGTTTGCAAACTGCAGAATGCAAAATTTCTTCTCTGCTGCAGACTCATTTTCATTAATGACACTTCCTAGATTTAGGAAATGACAAGGTGTTTGATTGTAGATGGGAGATGAAACTCAGATGGCTGCTCTATCAATTGGTGCATGCTTTTCAGATAATAATTCTTCTTCTGCATGCCATATCAGAATCCTGATGTTGGCGAGCACCCGGCGCAAGTTAATAGTGGTTACTATGCGCCAAGGTGTATCCTGGGGGAAGTTGCATCCAGAGTGGTTCCCCATTGCCTTCTCCGTAGCACGATGTTATGCGAGGGGAAAGAATGCCTTCTGGGAGGTCTTATAAGGAAAATTGGCCCCCATTCAGGTGTTACAAACATGGAGAAAACCCAGAAAAACTCCACGTGGCCAGCCCATCCGAGCACAGTGCGAACCCGCAACCGAACTCCCAGTATTTAGCGATGGAACTGTTCGGCCACTGGTGGGCAGATAATAATTAACATAATTAAAATAATTTAAAATGGTAGCATTCATTTTGGAAGATCCTGTATATTTGACAACAAAAGTAATTATTCTGTTATTTGTAGAAGTGGAATATATTAACAATTGTGTGTGTGTGTGTGTGTGTGTGTGTGTGTATGTATGTTATTGAATCAGTGATAATTTATTTTATATATCTATGATAATTTTTTACAAAACACTTTTTATTTTTATTAGAACAAATGGTGAATCATTGTATCAGGTATTGGGTTTACCAAAAACTGCAACTCAAGATGAAATCAAAAGAACTTACAGAAAGGTATTTAATTTAAGTAGTTAGAATGTAATATAATATAATCCTGAAATTCTGATAAAAATCACTAAATTTTTAAATCTTGTTTATAGTAAATGAATTAATAGAATTAATCAGTTCTTAAGAATAAGGGGAAAAAATGATATTCAAACTGACAGTATTCTATTTTATAATTTATTGTATATCACACAATTGAAAATTCTTTGATTTTTAAGATAGCATGATCTCTCTCATATTTTATATATTAGAATTTTTATACTCCATCAATTTTAAGATCATATAATATTTAAGTTCATTCAAACACTTAAGAGAGAAAAAATATAATCAAGCACAAACAGATCCTGAAAACAATGCTGCTTCTTACATATTATGACTGGTAGAAACAATAAAAAACTATATACGGAATAAAAACAACAAAAAAGTACTGAGCATGGTCAAAAACAGTCATCCCAACAAAATAGTGAAGTGTCCATGTTTCACAAACAGGCAGCCAGAATTTAGCCCATTCTCCATATATGTGCAACTGCTGAAATGTTTGTGATCTTCATTGGTCCATCCTCTGTTTCAACTAGCACTGCACATTTTCAATAGGTGGTAAATCTGAACCGTTTTCAGGCCAGGGAGTAATACTGAATGACTATTTGTTGCACAGGATCTGGAAGAGGTTTACCTTGTGACATTTTAGGGCTTCTGCACTATCCCTTGATAAAGAACTTTAACTGCATCAGTTTGATGAATTCTGCAACAGTTTATAAACATTATTTTCTATTGGTCATCTTTATTTGGTTTTTTTCTATATGAAAAACTTTCATTGGTTGCTGTTGATGGTATAGTTACTCCATAAATTTGTGTGTGCATACTTTGTTTTCCATATGCATTTTACTTTTCTTTTGCATGTTATGGTTAATTGGCCGGTTAAATTTTGTATTCAACTTTGTGTATTTGGTTATTTCCCCATTTATAGGTTTAAGCAAACTTCACTGATTTTGAGATTTTGTATAATGGGATTTACTCATATGTTGTGTACATGCAAGTAAGAAAAATGTTGTCAAAACAGAACAGTTATAAGTATTGATTTAATAATGAATTTCAGGAAATTCATTATTAAATCTCAGGATTATTAAATTCATTATTAATTTCAGGAAATAGAAAATTAATCAGCAAAGAAACATAATTCAGATAAAAAAAAATTTTACTTTCATTGTTTTAATTTATTACTCAAATATTTTTTTCTTTTTCAATCATTTCTTTGTCTTTATGCACTTATAATTATTACTGCAGAAGATAAATGCAAGCATATTCTAACACAGGCATGGCCAACATATAGCCCATGTAATGAATTTATGTGACCCGTGATTAATCTTTCAGTATTAGCTACTCAAGTCAAAATAGCTCAATGAAAAATTCTGACGCCTAAAAAAAATAAAGGTCAACAACTCACTGCGTGTTTGGAGTTAACCCTCCATTACAAATCTCGTAAGTACAGCATAGAATGTTGATAAAGCGTGATAATGTGAAAAATGTATCTGTAATTGCTATCTACAATTTAGTCTCTATGGGGTGACACCACAATGAGATCTTGCACCACCTCAAAATCTTCCTAGGGTAGCCTCTGGTTTAGCTCATGAAAAAAGTTTTCTTTCCAATTTGGCCTGGGGGCAAAAACTGTTGGCCACCCCTGTTCTAACAAGTCATTAAAAAATTCAGGGAACTTTGCATGGGCAGTCTCTTCCAGATATACCCTTACCATTGAGTCACTTCCATTATGGGCCTGGCCAAATTCATGAAGATTATGTAAAAGAGACCCTCTTAGTATCCACAGGGAAAAGCACCAAAATGAAAAAAAGAAAACAGTGATTCAAGCTGACTATGATTGATAAATCTTTTGTTTTTTATTTTGAACTTTAATTTTAAGAATGTAATTTTTGCATAACATCTATCACAGGAACTACAGAATAAAAAAAGTAAATAAAAAAAATAAAATAGATTGACAATTTAAACTATTACTATTTTATGTCTTCTCTGGGTAAGTACAAGATAGTTTGTACATTTAAAGTACAGCAAGTCCTCACTTAACATTGTTTATAAGTTCTTGGAAATTGTGACATTAAGTAAAACTACATATAATGAAATCAATTGCACCATATGCTAAATGATATAAGCAAGAATTAAGTTTCTTATTGAATTGTTTCAAACTTCCAGTATTTTAATTTCTACCTTACAAAATCAGTTTTACTGTTTTCATAAAAAAAGTGTAACAACAATAACTGTAAATGATTATAAATGTACAGGATGATAAACTTGGGACTGTTACTTTGTTCAATATTTCAAGATTGCACAGTCACACAAAGAGCATGTAATGTAAAACATACCTTTGTCAACTGCTTTATCATGAAATACATGAAACATGAATGGAACAATTCTTTGTCTTTTTTTACATTTTATATGGAGATATTCCACATAGCAAGTTTTCAGTTCAGAATGAATCATCTTGCACTTGTATCTTTCTTCAACAACATTATAACAAAACAACATTAAGTAAGCAATTGCTGTATATTGAATATATATGTTCATATAAAAAAAATTTTCTCATAACAGAATATTAAGTAGTTATTTATAAAGTTTAATTTCCATACAAGTTCAATAACAGAGAACCTTCAGAACTGTATATTATTGTCTTTAACTGATAACTATTATAAATAAATATTGCTTAAATTTTAGTTGAAATTTAAGAATTGTAATGTCAAATAAAAAAATGTGTGTGGTTTTTTACAATATCAAAAATATAAAACATTGCACAAACTTTGGTTTTCTGATAATGTGATTAAATTTAAGAAATGCATAACAATATTTTTATTTTTGAAAATAAATAATAATAAGAAAATGTTGTAAGTAAAATACATAAATATTGCATAGCATTCTGAAAAATATTTTTTCTTATTAAAAATGTTTTTCCACTTTTATAGTAGTCTATAACTGTTTAATTTTAAAGGTCTATAATAAAAACACTCCCAAGAAAGGCTAAAGCATGAAATAAAAAGCCATCTCAGCATCATAAAATATTAAAATATAAAATATAAATTTTTGTCACTGTACAGGTATATTAAATAAAATAAAAATTGTTTTCTGTAAAACTCTGTAGCATTATCTGTAAAGCCAGTATAATAAATCGTGATATTAGAAGATACATACATGTAGACAAAAATTTATATTCTAGTAAGAAAAGGACATTGAGGCATTTTAATTAATTATAAAATATTCTTGACACTTTATAATAATTTTACTGCCTTTAGAGCAAAGAATGGCATTGTGAAGCAGTTTGGGACAATTTTAGCCTACTCTGCAGATAGATCTTGTAGTATGCTGTATTTACAGTCTGACCATATGGAATAAAATAACCCCTAGTATGTCTTATGCAAAGATTACTATTATTATTACCTTCATAAGAGATGGGTTTTGCAAAACTTGTCCAGAATTTCCACAAAAACACATCAACACTCAACAGACTGACATTTAACTTTGATTCATAGGTTCTGGCACATGTTTTATTGATGGAAATTATCCTATTCAACATATTGTCTCCATTTTTGTAACATTCCAAGTTTACTTTTACATTTCATTGTTTGTGTGGCACCCACTTTTCTGTAATTTTGCACATATATAATCTTGTCATAAAATTTTATACACAGCAGTACTGATGCACAGTAGCTTGATCAATACCTGTATGTATCTAACTCTTTCAGAGACCATTGCCTGTCTTCCTCCATGCATTGTGCAATTATGACACAAACGGCATTGCTATAAACAGTCATAGCATATCCTGCATGTGGCATGTTATCAATTATCTCTTTCACATTAGAATGCTGCTACCTACCTTGTGACATGTGTGTGGTTAGAGTTATTGTAAGCTCTTTGTGACTTTTGCTTGTGTTTTTTTTTTTTTTTATGAAGCACTGCTGTTTTCAAGTAATCACACTGTTTTGTCAACTAATAGTGAAATCTCAATAGAGATTGAAAACACACTTTGTACTTGACTCTCTTCAAAGTCCCTGAATGTCTGCAATGTCTATTAACAGCATTAGATACTAGAAGTTATGATTTCTATATAGACACACACACTCACACCTTATTTCTTTGATTCTGAGGTGTACTATGATTTTGAAATTGAATTTTAAGATTTATTTTTTGTTTTTTGGATAGAGGAAATGGAGAGAGAAATTTTTAAATTTTGTTTTTGTTAAGTAACAAAGTAGAAAAATAATACTAATATCATAAAATAGATAATGTTTGGTGGCTCTACTTCTGTGTTCTTTTCAAATAAAATAACTCAGTTTTAATGCTGTTTAAAATATTAAATTAATTTTTCTGTAAGAATTTGATTTCATTTAATTTTATGAACCTGTTTCACCTTCAGAATCTTTAGAATTTAAATGTACTTTGCTAATATTAAACAATGCATATGTGAATTAAAATATATAAACAGGTGTATGGTTCAATAATATTAAGGTATCTCTCTCCTTCTCAGCAATATTAATTATAATATACAGGGTTCCTAAGCACCTGGAAAGTCAGGGAAAATCAGGGAAAGTCAGGGATTTTCATTAGTGTTTGGAAAAGGTCAGGGAAAGTCAGGGAATTTGTCAAAAATTGCCAAAAAGTCAGGGAATTTGTCTCCTTAACTGCATTGTTGATCTCGTTTGCTGAATATGGATGACCAATCACAGCCATCTGCAGGCGGCAAGAAGTAATGCTGCAATCTTTAAAACCCGAGATAACTCGGGCAAGTTCCATAGCGTTACATAAAACTCGGGCATTTGGGCCCTCCGAAAAAATTTTTGTTTTTTTTTTGGATTTTTGGATGTTAAGTCTCCAAATTTTTTCAAAAATTTTTTCCCGTGCGAAAATATTTCATTGCGATTTTAATATACCTTTAATGACGCACGATTAACGCTTAATTGTTTTTTAATGGGAGTTTTTTTTATCAAATTTCATTCATCGTTCTAAAGTAGTAGTGCACGGATTTTACTTCGATAAAGTTATTTAAAGCTAGTTTCTGATGTCAAAAACGACCTCCAATAGTTTTTTAATTTTTTTAAATTAATATATTTTATTATATATACGTTTAATTAAGTCGGGGGGTCGGAAATCGCAATAAAAAAACGTANAAATGTCACTACACGTTCTACATATTATGTAAAAAATTTGTTACTTAATTTTTGATGTGTCTAACATTATAATATTAAGGTAATCAAATGAAAGTGACCAATGTCATTTATTTTCAAACTGTTATCTGTAAGTTGAAAGTAATGACCACAAACATTGAGGCATTTGTCCCATTAAGTAACAAGTTTGGTAATTCCATGTTCATAGAAGTCCTTTGTTTTCAGCTTCAGGAAGTCTGTGACCACCTTCTGCAAATCTACATTTGAGAGAAACTTATTAAATTTAATTATTAATAGTAGTGAAAAAATAGCCCAATGCATTATTACAATAATAATGCTTAGATTAATAATTGTTTTGATTTGTTACATATATTTAACATTACATAAAAATGTTTTTGTGATTTTCATATTTTCTTGATTGGAATTAACTTTTAAATATTTTTATAGTAATAAATTAACTTTATTTAAACTTCTTTAGCTAGCTTTAAAATATCATCCAGACAAAAATCCAAATAATCCTGAAGCAGCAGAAAAGGTTAGCTATATTTTATCATTTTATTTTATTTTTTAATTACTATTTTTTAATTATAAAAAATTTCTACAGTTTAAGGTTGTCAATAATGCAAATTCTATTCTGAGTGATGAAACTAAAAGAAGTATTTATGATAATTACGGTTCATTAGGATTGTACATAGCAGAACAATTTGGTGAAGAGAATGTCAATACTTACTTTGTTCTTACAAGTACCTGGTGTAAGGTTAGTAAATTTATAAGTAGTTATACAAGAAATTTGGTTGATATTTCCCATGTATTAAAAAAATATTTTGTAAATATTATTTTTCAGGCACTGGTAATTTGTTGTGGAATTTTAACTGGTTGTTATCTGTGTTGCTGCTGTTGCTGCTGTTGTAACTGCTGTTGTGGAAAATGTAAACCACCGCATCCTGAAGATATATCCGATTATTCTAATTTGCAGGTATTTATGAACATTTAACAAATTAAAGATATATGTGTATATTTAATTTTAGTAAAATAACATTAGTTTTTTCTGTGATAGTCCATTGTTTTTTCCATCTATCTTATTCTAAAATTTACTTGTTAATGATTGACTAATCTTCATGAAAGTTTTCTTTGAATTTATTTTAATTAACTGTTTTGAGAAGTTATAAATTTAATTTCTCAATAAAATTGATAGTTGATTATGTATAGTATTAACACTAAATGAAATGAGCAGTTATTTATTGTGAGATCATCACAATGCTGGGCTGAAATTTTTAATCATATATATATGATTAAAAATTTCAGCCCAGCATTGATATATATATATATCATTTTAAATTAAATAAATTAAAAATATCTTTTTAAATAATAGCACATACAGTAATTTGCCAATTGATTTATACCAGTTAATACAAAACTATTGCAATTGAATGTTTTTGACCAGATGACAGATCAGCGTCTGGTTTGTTTTAAATGTTTATTAATATATTTCTTAAAAATGTGAGTTGAGTTATTTTAGAATAGTAAACAATAAATTTTGCCCTAGTTCTATCAATACTACTTACACAGAACAGGAAAAGATGACCAGATTTGCCTTCTGTTCCTTGTTTAGTGGATGTCATCAGATGTCGATTGTGAATAAATTATCAACAGATGTGGATTTGAAAATACAGATTAAACTTATAATTAATTAACAAAGAACTGTATTTTAAATATAATACACACATTTGAGGGGTAATGCTGTAGATTTTCACATAATCTGTATTAATCTAATTATTTTTTCTTTTGATTGCTTTTTGTCTGTTGTATGCTAGCACTAAACATACAAAACATTTTTCTCAAATTCAGATTTATCAAGGTGGATTAAACACATAATAGAATACCTTGAGAGAAATAGAGAATTTGTAGAGTAATTCTCTATTCATTTTAAAATATGCATTTCAGACATAACAGGTCCTTCTTCACTGTTAATATATAGATCCTTTTTTAGGTGTATGTATAAATACTAGTAATCTTGTAATAAAAATCTCACATTATTTTTTCTCTTATAAATATAAATTTATAATTAATTTTAAAATTATTCAATATTAATGCATTTTGTGTAGTTTGTATTTTCATATTAAATAAATTTTAAATTCTTTTATCATTTGAATATTGAATCAAATGAACATTCTTCCATTTGATTATTTTATTTTTTATGCATTCACTGCAGTCCTAATATATTCAGTTTTTACTATATTTGATTTCAATAAAACTTTTCAACTTTATTTTATATTAATTTGATATAATTATCTACAATAATTTATAATGTATAACAATTATAAAGCAAAGAATCTTTTAAAATCCAGAAAGGTTTAAGAATGAATGTTTTGGCCCTCTTCAATAGCCATGGTTAGGTTCTAGACTAGCTAAAAATATTTATTCTTAATCACTTTTCCTGAATTTTAAAGTTTCTTTGCTTTATAGCCATCATATTTATCCAGTATGAAGATCCTCTTATTTAATTAAGGCACTCGTATAACAATTGAATCTAAGCAAAATTAAATTCTTGCTTTCCCTAGGACGACGAGACGGTTAAAACCGATCCTAAAGCACCAGTGACTGAGCAGCCAACCAAACAGGAAGACACAGCTATTCCTCTCCCTTCACCGACTAATAATCCCAATGCTACTGAGAAAACATCGTTGAGTAGCACTTACATAAATAAACAAAATAAATAAATAAATAAATAAACTAAAATAAAAATGTCACTACACGTTCTACATATTATGTAAAAAATTTGTTACTTAATTTTTGATGTGTCTAACATTATAATATTAAGGTAATCAAATGAAAGTGACCAATGTCATTTATTTTCAAACTGTTATCTGTAAGTTGAAAGTAATGACCACAAACATTGAGGCATTTGTCCCATTAAGTAACAAGTTTGGTAATTCCATGTTCATAGAAGTCCTTTGTTTTCAGCTTCAGGAAGTCTGTGACCACCTTCTGCAAATCTACATTTGAGAGAAACTTATTAAATTTAATTATTAATAGTAGTGAAAAAATAGCCCAATGCATTATTACAATAATAATGCTTAGATTAATAATTGTTTTGATTTGTTACATATATTTAACATTACATAAAAATGTTTTTGTGATTTTCATATTTTCTTGATTGGAATTAACTTTTAAATATTTTTATAGTAATAAATTAACTTTATTTAAACTTCTTTAGCTAGCTTTAAAATATCATCCAGACAAAAATCCAAATAATCCTGAAGCAGCAGAAAAGGTTAGCTATATTTTATCATTTTATTTTATTTTTTAATTACTATTTTTTAATTATAAAAAATTTCTACAGTTTAAGGTTGTCAATAATGCAAATTCTATTCTGAGTGATGAAACTAAAAGAAGTATTTATGATAATTACGGTTCATTAGGATTGTACATAGCAGAACAATTTGGTGAAGAGAATGTCAATACTTACTTTGTTCTTACAAGTACCTGGTGTAAGGTTAGTAAATTTATAAGTAGTTATACAAGAAATTTGGTTGATATTTCCCATGTATTAAAAAAATATTTTGTAAATATTATTTTTCAGGCACTGGTAATTTGTTGTGGAATTTTAACTGGTTGTTATCTGTGTTGCTGCTGTTGCTGCTGTTGTAACTGCTGTTGTGGAAAATGTAAACCACCGCATCCTGAAGATATATCCGATTATTCTAATTTGCAGGTATTTATGAACATTTAACAAATTAAAGATATATGTGTATATTTAATTTTAGTAAAATAACATTAGTTTTTTCTGTGATAGTCCATTGTTTTTTCCATCTATCTTATTCTAAAATTTACTTGTTAATGATTGACTAATCTTCATGAAAGTTTTCTTTGAATTTATTTTAATTAACTGTTTTGAGAAGTTATAAATTTAATTTCTCAATAAAATTGATAGTTGATTATGTATAGTATTAACACTAAATGAAATGAGCAGTTATTTATTGTGAGATCATCACAATGCTGGGCTGAAATTTTTAATCATATATATATGATTAAAAATTTCAGCCCAGCATTGTGATGATCTCACAATAAATAACTGCTCATTTCATTTAGTGTTAATACTATACATAATCAACTATCAATTTTATTGAGAAATTAAATTTATAACTTCTCAAAACAGTTAATTAAAATAAATTCAAAGAAAACTTTCATGAAGATTAGTCAATCATTAACAAGTAAATTTTAGAATAAGATAGATGGAAAAAACAATGGACTATCACAGAAAAAACTAATGTTATTTTACTAAAATTAAATATACACATATATCTTTAATTTGTTAAATGTTCATAAATACCTGCAAATTAGAATAATCGGATATATCTTCAGGATGCGGTGGTTTACATTTTCCACAACAGCAGTTACAACAGCAGCAACAGCAGCAACACAGATAACAACCAGTTAAAATTCCACAACAAATTACCAGTGCCTGAAAAATAATATTTACAAAATATTTTTTTAATACATGGGAAATATCAACCAAATTTCTTGTATAACTACTTATAAATTTACTAACCTTACACCAGGTACTTGTAAGAACAAAGTAAGTATTGACATTCTCTTCACCAAATTGTTCTGCTATGTACAATCCTAATGAACCGTAATTATCATAAATACTTCTTTTAGTTTCATCACTCAGAATAGAATTTGCATTATTGACAACCTTAAACTGTAGAAATTTTTTATAATTAAAAAATAGTAATTAAAAAATAAAATAAAATGATAAAATATAGCTAACCTTTTCTGCTGCTTCAGGATTATTTGGATTTTTGTCTGGATGATATTTTAAAGCTAGCTAAAGAAGTTTAAATAAAGTTAATTTATTACTATAAAAATATTTAAAAGTTAATTCCAATCAAGAAAATATGAAAATCACAAAAACATTTTTATGTAATGTTAAATATATGTAACAAATCAAAACAATTATTAATCTAAGCATTATTATTGTAATAATGCATTGGGCTATTTTTTCACTACTATTAATAATTAAATTTAATAAGTTTCTCTCAAATGTAGATTTGCAGAAGGTGGTCACAGACTTCCTGAAGCTGAAAACAAAGGACTTCTATGAACATGGAATTACCAAACTTGTTACTTAATGGGACAAATGCCTCAATGTTTGTGGTCATTACTTTCAACTTACAGATAACAGTTTGAAAATAAATGACATTGGTCACTTTCATTTGATTACCTTAATATTATAATGTTAGACACATCAAAAATTAAGTAACAAATTTTTTACATAATATGTAGAACGTGTAGTGACATTTTTATTTTAGTTTATTTATTTATTTATTTATTTTGTTTATTTATGTAATATACAAAAAGTTGTTAACTTATTTCAAAAATTCAAATCAAAATAAAATTCGAACGAATAGTTCCATTTTGAAATGATAAAGCGAAACCTGAGAATGGCCTATCCAAATAGGCTGAAAATGTTTGAATAAAGAGAAAAAACTCAGCAAGTAGAATTCAGGTGTGTTCATATATTCAGGGTTCCTACTCAAATTTTTGTTTTGAATTCCCTGACTTTCCCTGACCAACTTTGTCCAAATTCCCTGACCCTCACATTTTTTAGTGTGGAATATCGACATAATAAAACAGAATTTACGGTTAACATTGAGTACATTTAGCCCTCTTTTTGCACAGTTGATATGCTTCAAAGACTGCCACATTAAAAAAATACAGTACATACATCCTGTAGAAAAATGTTTGATAGAATCCACAACTTCAATGTAATGAAAAAATAAGCAATTTACAATCAAAACACAAGCTTTTTATTTTATCATCATTTATCATTATTATTTGTATGTAAATCTAGTAAATACAAGGTAACATAAAATCAACAAAAATTATTCTTTGANTTGAAGTTGTGGATTCTATCAAACATTTTTCTACAGGATGTATGTACTGTATTTTTTTAATGTGGCAGTCTTTGAAGCATATCAACTGTGCAAAAAGAGGGCTAAATGTACTCAATGTTAACCGTAAATTCTGTTTTATTATGTCGATATTCCACACTAAAAAATGTGAGGGTCAGGGAATTTGGACAAAGTTGGTCAGGGAAAGTCAGGGAATTCAAAACAAAAATTTGAGTAGGAACCCTGAATATATGAACACACCTGAATTCTACTTGCTGAGTTTTTTCTCTTTATTCAAACATTTTCAGCCTATTTGGATAGGCCATTCTCAGGTTTCGCTTTATCATTTCAAAATGGAACTATTCGTTCGAATTTTATTTTGATTTGAATTTTTGAAATAAGTTAACAACTTTTTGTATATTACATAAATAAACAAAATAAATAAATAAATAAATAAACTAAAATAAAAATGTCACTACACGTTCTACATATTATGTAAAAAATTTGTTACTTAATTTTTGATGTGTCTAACATTATAATATTAAGGTAATCAAATGAAAGTGACCAATGTCATTTATTTTCAAACTGTTATCTGTAAGTTGAAAGTAATGACCACAAACATTGAGGCATTTGTCCCATTAAGTAACAAGTTTGGTAATTCCATGTTCATAGAAGTCCTTTGTTTTCAGCTTCAGGAAGTCTGTGACCACCTTCTGCAAATCTACATTTGAGAGAAACTTATTAAATTTAATTATTAATAGTAGTGAAAAAATAGCCCAATGCATTATTACAATAATAATGCTTAGATTAATAATTGTTTTGATTTGTTACATATATTTAACATTACATAAAAATGTTTTTGTGATTTTCATATTTTCTTGATTGGAATTAACTTTTAAATATTTTTATAGTAATAAATTAACTTTATTTAAACTTCTTTAGCTAGCTTTAAAATATCATCCAGACAAAAATCCAAATAATCCTGAAGCAGCAGAAAAGGTTAGCTATATTTTATCATTTTATTTTATTTTTTAATTACTATTTTTTAATTATAAAAAATTTCTACAGTTTAAGGTTGTCAATAATGCAAATTCTATTCTGAGTGATGAAACTAAAAGAAGTATTTATGATAATTACGGTTCATTAGGATTGTACATAGCAGAACAATTTGGTGAAGAGAATGTCAATACTTACTTTGTTCTTACAAGTACCTGGTGTAAGGTTAGTAAATTTATAAGTAGTTATACAAGAAATTTGGTTGATATTTCCCATGTATTAAAAAAATATTTTGTAAATATTATTTTTCAGGCACTGGTAATTTGTTGTGGAATTTTAACTGGTTGTTATCTGTGTTGCTGCTGTTGCTGCTGTTGTAACTGCTGTTGTGGAAAATGTAAACCACCGCATCCTGAAGATATATCCGATTATTCTAATTTGCAGGTATTTATGAACATTTAACAAATTAAAGATATATGTGTATATTTAATTTTAGTAAAATAACATTAGTTTTTTCTGTGATAGTCCATTGTTTTTTCCATCTATCTTATTCTAAAATTTACTTGTTAATGATTGACTAATCTTCATGAAAGTTTTCTTTGAATTTATTTTAATTAACTGTTTTGAGAAGTTATAAATTTAATTTCTCAATAAAATTGATAGTTGATTATGTATAGTATTAACACTAAATGAAATGAGCAGTTATTTATTGTGAGATCATCACAATGCTGGGCTGAAATTTTTAATCATATATATATGATTAAAAATTTCAGCCCAGCATTGATATATATATATATCATTTTAAATTAAATAAATTAAAAATATCTTTTTAAATAATAGCACATACAGTAATTTGCCAATTGATTTATACCAGTTAATACAAAACTATTGCAATTGAATGTTTTTGACCAGATGACAGATCAGCGTCTGGTTTGTTTTAAATGTTTATTAATATATTTCTTAAAAATGTGAGTTGAGTTATTTTAGAATAGTAAACAATAAATTTTGCCCTAGTTCTATCAATACTACTTACACAGAACAGGAAAAGATGACCAGATTTGCCTTCTGTTCCTTGTTTAGTGGATGTCATCAGATGTCGATTGTGAATAAATTATCAACAGATGTGGATTTGAAAATACAGATTAAACTTATAATTAATTAACAAAGAACTGTATTTTAAATATAATACACACATTTGAGGGGTAATGCTGTAGATTTTCACATAATCTGTATTAATCTAATTATTTTTTCTTTTGATTGCTTTTTGTCTGTTGTATGCTAGCACTAAACATACAAAACATTTTTCCCAAATTCAGATTTATCAAGGTGGATTAAACACATAATAGAATACCTTGAGAGAAATAGAGAATTTGTAGAGTAATTCTCTATTCATTTTAAAATATGCATTTCAGACATAACAGGTCCTTCTTCACTGTTAATATATAGATCCTTTTTTAGGTGTATGTATAAATACTAGTAATCTTGTAATAAAAATCTCACATTATTTTTTCTCTTATAAATATAAATTTATAATTAATTTTAAAATTATTCAATATTAATGCATTTTGTGTAGTTTGTATTTTCATATTAAATAAATTTTAAATTCTTTTATCATTTGAATATTGAATCAAATGAACATTCTTCCATTTGATTATTTTATTTTTTATGCATTCACTGCAGTCCTAATATATTCAGTTTTTACTATATTTGATTTCAATAAAACTTTTCAACTTTATTTTATATTAATTTGATATAATTATCTACAATAATTTATAATGTATAACAATTATAAAGCAAAGAATCTTTTAAAATCCAGAAAGGTTTAAGAATGAATGTTTTGGCCCTCTTCAATAGCCATGGTTAGGTTCTAGACTAGCTAAAAATATTTATTCTTAATCACTTTTCCTGAATTTTAAAGTTTCTTTGCTTTATAGCCATCATATTTATCCAGTATGAAGATCCTCTTATTTAATTAAGGCACTCGTATAACAATTGAATCTAAGCAAAATTAAATTCTTGCTTTCCCTAGGACGACGAGACGGTTAAAATCGATCCTAAAGCACCAGTGACTGAGCAGCCAACCAAACAGGAAGACACAGCTATTCCTCTCCCTTCACCGACTAATAATCCCAATGCTACTGAGAAAACATCGTTGAGTAGCACGCCTCAGGCGACATACTCGACAGAAAAGAACTCACCTAGTCAATGATGTCGATTGCCACTCCNATAACATAGATCCTTGTACTATTATCATGAAATAATAATCAAACAATTCTTAATTCATTGTTTTTAAAAATTTTAATAACTAAAATGTCTTAGGATTTTAGGCTTTATTAGAGGTATTAATTTACATCTGTTATGGAAATAATTGGTGTTTTAGTTTGGTAATTCCAATGAGAAAAATGTGCCTGGTCTTTAAATAATTATAAAATATATCCATAAGTCTAAATGAATGCAATTATTCAAACTTAAGTTAGGTTCTAGACTAGCTAAAAATATTTATTCTTAATCACTTTTCCTGAATTTTAAAGTTTCTTTGCTTTATAGCCATCATATTTATCCAGTATGAAGATCCTCTTATTTAATTAAGGCACTCGTATAACAATTGAATCTAAGCAAAATTAAATTCTTGCTTTCCCTAGGACGACGAGACGGTTAAAACCGATCCTAAAGCACCAGTGACTGAGCAGCCAACCAAACAGGAAGACACAGCTATTCCTCTCCCTTCACCGACTAATAATCCCAATGCTACTGAGAAAACATCGTTGAGTAGCACGCCTCAGGCGACATACTCGACAGAAAAGAACTCACCTAGTCAATGATGTCGATTGCCACTCCTGGAATAGTCAAAAAAAATAAAATACCCTAAGCTGTTGGAAAATAGGTTAATTACATAGCACATAATGAAACAACAATTTGGATAAATTTTTTTAAGAACTGATGAGCATTTTAGATAAATGTCACAAGTTCTTGTATAAATTTTTGTGAATGTGAATTCTGTGATATATGTACATATATTTTTTATCAGTTGTATCAGTGCTTGTATTTCAAACTAACTGTTCTGTTATATTTAATTTCAGTTAATTATTGTTTCCATTTAAAAGCTTTAATTTAGAATATCGATATGTTGCAGAAATATTTTTATATAATTTACCTCTTCCCTGATTATTTTATGGATTTTAAAGATATTTATTCCCAGAAACATTCCCATTTTGAAAGTATGCTGTTCTATAGAAGTTTTCTAGTTGATAATACCAGAAAAAATAGAGAAAATGCAATGCCTTATCTGTGTATTGTAAACTACTGTTTGTCATTTTGATTTTTAAATGTGTTAATTTTTTAAAATAATTGTATAACTTTACTAATTCTTTAACAAAATATTAACACAATAAATAAAATTTTGTATTTATTATAATTCGAGTATAAAATTTTAGGTTCTAAAAAAATTTTAGTTGCTTATAGTAAATAAGAATGTCATTAATATAGGGATCCTAAATATTAACTTGCAGCTACAATAATCAAAATTTTTATTTGTAGCCTTATCTAGAGTGATAATTTGTTATAAACTAGATTTAATGGTATTTGATTTATAAAAATAACTTTTTGTTTAATATAAATATATATTTTTTTATTTCTTGGGGGATATGATTAGAATTTTGAAACAGATTTGGAGAATTCATAAATGAATGCAAAGAAAATGTTTGAAGATGTTAGGAAGGTATGTTAAAATAATTATTTATTGATGCTGAATTGCAAATTTTACATAATTAATTTTTTTTCTACATTCCATAGAGTTGCAAATTGATTTTCCCCATTTTCCTTTTTGTAACTCTTTATATTAACATTGATATGGTACCATAGAAGCAGCATAGACAGTTTGATCAATATAAGTTTGTATGGGACCATATTATAAGCAATACTCTCAAATTAATTTATGTAGTTAATGATTATTAGCTGTGTTACAACTTTAATAGAATCCTGTTTACATATACATAATTCATACTGATAAATTTGAGTACCATAATAAACATATTATTTTCTACATGATTTGAATTAATTTTAACAATAGAGAGTTACAAATATACATAAACAGTATTCATTTATTTAAAATTAATCTCTCTGAGAATCTCATTTCTAATTCTTTTAATGCTTTCTTTTTGACACTGATTATATACTATTAATTTTAATCATTTATAAGAAACTTTACCATTTACATTTACAAACTTTATCATAATATAAATCAAGTGCTTTTTGATAAATAAATAAATGTAATGCTGTTTAATATCAGAAATAGTAAAATAATCTTTTGCAAAGCAAACTATTTTTCTGAAGATAACTTTACAAATCAATTTTTCATATGCAGCATTATTTAAAATAGTGCAGTGTTCATTCATTCGAAAGAAGTGCCATTTAAACTTAATAATTGTAGTTACATTAACTAAAATACTTGTAGTAATGCTATATATCTGAATAAAACAGTGATATATTGAAATAAGTGCAACTGTTGACCCTAAACATAATAGACAAATAGGGGAACTGATGCTCCAATAATTCTGCCTGTTGCTGTCAACTCAAAAATGAATTTTATAACGAATGCTGACAGAGTGATGTTGCTTAAACCTTTATTTATTGACCATTTATTCATTAATTCTTTTAGAGAGGTTTCGCCTGGTTGTGTTGATGAACTTTAAGTAAGATATTCTTGTTTTTTGAAAAATTTGGCACTATATATCTAACTTTATCAATAGTATCTGCAGTTTTAGTTATAACCAGTGCTGCTGTCTGCTTCTGGTGGAACTACCTGACAACACCTTTGTTTTATCCTAGATTACCCTAAATTGAGAGAACTCTCCAAGCTTGAGCTCATGCTCAGATAAAAACATAAGACAAATGATTCTATAACATAGATCCTTGTACTATTATCATGAAATAATAATCAAACAATTCTTAATTCATTGTTTTTAAAAATTTTAATAACTAAAATGTCTTAGGATTTTAGGCTTTATTAGAGGTATTAATTTACATCTGTTATGGAAATAATTGGTGTTTTAGTTTGGTAATCCCAATGAGAAAAATGTGCCTGGTCTTTAAATAATTATAAAATATATCCATAAGTCTAAATGAATGCAATTATTCAAACTTAATTAACTCACTTTCAACATATGTTGTGTATCTTAGCTGAAGATAGAAAATTAAATAAGCCATTCAGTTGATTTCAAACATACTTTAACATGTAAATGATCAGTTTTTAAAATTAGTTAATTTATGTATGTTACTGTGAAAGACCGAAATTAGAGAATGTAGATATTTTTCGGTGAATGTCAACACATACAGAATACATTGGTAAAAGACCGAATATTTGGTTATAATTATTATACATTCAAACAATTGTATGTAAACAAGCACAAATAAGCTTTGATGCAGGTTGAAACAACACCTGAGAAGCCGATGTCGGCAGAGGCGACAATCTGTCGCCAAATCCTTTGTGGGTACCTGGAGATAAGGTTGTACCTCTCTTTCCGACAACGGTTTTGTGGAAACTGCCCACTTTGTCACTGGATGGCATTTTTGTTGTTTTGATCCCGTGAGGTGGCGATTGGTTTGTCAGTCGAGTGGTGGAGGATGAGAGGGGTCGTCGGTAAGGCGTTGGCAATATTCAAATAAAAAACACCATTAACAGATCAATTTGTAATTTGTAAAGAAAGTGGAGGGTAAGGATATACACACAATCATTACAAAAAGAAGTGTTTCACGAATAAATGCAGTTGTAAAAGCAAGGGACTCTTGTGCAATTCAAAGTGCCATAACAGTTTAAATTGTTGCAATAAATAAGATTGTATAACATTAATCACATAATTTGTAAGTTTATTATTGTATTATTTTCTTTAATGGTTTAGAATGTACTGTTCATTTTAGGTTCAACAGTTTATTTACATGTGCTGTTACTAAAGCTTTCTCCTATTTTGACATATTAAAAACTTGCATTTTTGTCTTGATGTAATAAAAATATTTTTATTCAACATTCACCATCAGTGCATGCTGAATGTCGACATTTGCTGGTGTAAATGAGAAATAATGATATTTAGCAAATATTTCATGCATACATGAAATGACTGTGTGAATGCTGACATTTGCCAGATATTGGTCATTCACAGTTACATATATATTTGTGTTTTAACTTTTGTTTTGAAGGGTAAAATGAAACCACCAATCATTTTTATTGCTTTAGCTTCTGTTGTCCTATCCTAAAACCCTCCATTTACATGGGAAAACAGAACGGTTTTAGGCTAAACCGTTTTTCCAGTGAAACTTTTGGCGCAAATTTTGCCCAGTGATTTGATGCAGTTACGCATCAAATCACTGGGCAGTTTGCTCTAGATTTACCCTAAATATAAGTCTATCCTGAACATTACCCTTAGAGGTTGAAATTACCCTAGAAACAGCAGCACTGGTTGTGACATTGTAACATCAATAAAATTTTAAGTATATTGTGCCAAAATGAACTTTATCTAAGATATGATAAAGGGAACAAGTCTTAAGTTGTGGTAAATATGAGGGAAATAAGTATCATACTTTCAAGTAGAGACAAACAATAACTGCCAATGGGTATTCTACACATTAAAAGTTGCAATCTGATATTTTTAAATACTAATTCTGCAGATGTTCCAACATACGCCTTGGAACAAATAAATTTGTTTCCAAAATCCATTAAATTTTAGTTTGTAAAATCAAGGTCAACAATGTGTAATATATGAAAATAGTAACAGTTTAAAGAATGAATCTTTGTTTTAACACACCATAATTTAGCATTACTGTAATAGGTGTTAAATATATTCTAAAGTTCACACAATCAAAAACTTAGAACATCTTTAGGATTATAAGTAGTTATTTACCAATATAAACTACATTTTTTCCTAATTTACTTTATTGTGTAACACCACCTAGAAAAAATGTTAGAATTAATTAATTATAGGTGTAATTATTATATTTAATCAGTTTATGCTCTGACTTTTTCATTGACAAGAGAATCCAAATTAGTTTTCATTAATTTCCCGCCTTTAACATTCCATATGACTTAACAATCTTATTAGTCTTATTATTAATGATATTTAGAGAAGTGTCACAATGTATTTGTTTACAATCCAACTCGTGCACACAATGCCATCATATGTATTTTTATCTTGTATTTGGAACATTTGAGGTTCTATCTTCATATTTTTAAACGAGTAATCAGGATTCTATTATTGTAAAAAAATCATTTAGCATATCATAATTAAGAATGCAATTTATTGTAAATATTTAAACTTGAGATGGTTCTGCACATTTAGTATTCACCAACTGCCAAATAATTGTCTGTTAGTCCCTTTGATTCGGCAGTGTACCGATCAGGAGCAGGAAACAGCAAATACCAAGTATTGGTCACAAGTAAATTGTCCGCACTATTTGGTATCAGCCAAGCATTTGGCATTTGGTAAATACCAAACCTGTGGAGTTGCCTTTACACTAGTTTGAACAAAGAATTAGTATAACAGTTTTATAAAGTTTTTTATCCTGTTGCACCTTATATATATATAAAAATCTAAACTCTATGTACCATTTGTAAATTCAAATTGTACATCACATAAGTGTGTGCTTAATTATAAAACAAGTATTTTAATTTGTTTCTTTAATTTGGTTTGTTCTCTGTTATATACAGCAAAAAAAAATCTTAAATGCAGTTAATCCAGAAAATAAATTTATTGTGCAGTCAGCAGTACATTTATATATTAAACTGTTTGCAAAATATGGCAAAACTATTTGTATTTTGTTTGCTGTGTATTACTTTGTAATATTTGTTAGAAAAGTAATTTAAAATCTGGTATTTTTTTATGTAAAGAAGTTTTTTAAAAGAGAAAATTTCTACTTTTTCATAGAATTAAAATTATTGTAATTGAGGTTGGTTGAAGCTTGTTCCACGACCCGTTAGTCGAGAATGATAAGTGCCTGATTTCGATACAAGATTATTAATCAGCATGACATTTATTCCACTTTTGTATGAGATAAAAATGAAATTTTCTGGAATAAATTCTTTTTAGTATGTTGTTTAGATCTCTTGAAATATTTTATCATATCTTTAATTTTTTTCATAGTTGGCGTGGATCCAGAATATTAACGATTTTTACTTTATTGTAAAAAGTTTGAAACTGCATGATATTTGAATAAATATTAAAAATAATTTTTTAAATTTCTTAACTCTAGTGAATTTATATATAATAATTTGATTGCAGTAGAAATTTAATATTTTTTTTTTAATGATATAAATACTTTCTTATATGTTTTAATATAAATTTAAAGTCTGTTTTTAAAGAAAATAAAAATTGTTATCATTGAATTACAAAACAGTCTGAAAATGTTATAAAACTTGGCACCAAAATATAATACAGTCGACCCCCCTATAATTACGATTCCTATAAAACTACGAAAAAATATACGTATTTTGGAAATGTTGAGNCAGATTTGCATAACGTTACGGCTGGTGATGGCTAATTGGTCGGCCGGAAATCACGCCACATGACATTTGCATAGTGCTACGGTTCAGTAAGCACTAATTGGTCATCGAGTCCGATGTTGACGCTATAAACAGGCGACAGTTCGACACACCGGATATAGGTCACTCTCGTCTAAGTTCGACTTGGGAATGTTTTTGTTCAATAATAAATGTGAATTCTTCTTCCTGGAAAAAATAAGACCTAGCGCATTTTTCGGAGCAAAAATTAATATAAGACACTGTCTTATTTTCGGGGAAACACGGTATGACACAGTATGAAATATGCAAATATTGCACTTGTGTTAATGTAATATTTTACATTTAAAATTTACAAGAATGATCAGATTATCTATTTATTCTATATTTGATTATTTTAATATAGATTTCAATTAACTACATATGTGTTTTCAAAAATCCAAAAATGTCCAGATTAGCAAAAATTTTCTGCACTAAATATTTCATTAATCAGCTCACGTCGTCAGTGTATAACACCTTGACATTGTGGACTGATTATCATCATCCTGATCTGGGCTGTGCGGTAGATTTTCTTAGTATGATACAAGTCTTCGAAATGCCGCTTATTCCGCCCCCATACGATGTCGCCTGATGTGGCCGCATCTCTGCACGGTCCTGATCCTGATAGCTTCAATAGATGGCATGAGAGTAAGGTGTAAATGTGCTGTCCTGATCCACTCGTAGTTTACGGGGTGGTTCGTCCTGATTCGTAGGGCCCTCCAGTGTTTNGGAGAATTCATAAATGAATGCAAAGAAAATGTTTGAAGATGTTAGGAAGGTATGTTAAAATAATTATTTATTGATGCTGAATTGCAAATTTTACATAATTAATTTTTTTTCTACATTCCATAGAGTTGCAAATTGATTTTCCCCATTTTCCTTTTTGTAACTCTTTATATTAACATTGATATGGTACCATAGAAGCAGCATAGACAGTTTGATCAATATAAGTTTGTATGGGACCATATTATAAGCAATACTCTCAAATTAATTTATGTAGTTAATGATTATTAGCTGTGTTACAACTTTAATAGAATCCTGTTTACATATACATAATTCATACTGATAAATTTGAGTACCATAATAAACATATTATTTTCTACATGATTTGAATTAATTTTAACAATAGAGAGTTACAAATATACATAAACAGTATTCATTTATTTAAAATTAATCTCTCTGAGAATCTCATTTCTAATTCTTTTAATGCTTTCTTTTTGACACTGATTATATACTATTAATTTTAATCATTTATAAGAAACTTTACCATTTACATTTACAAACTTTATCATAATATAAATCAAGTGCTTTTTGATAAATAAATAAATGTAATGCTGTTTAATATCAGAAATAGTAAAATAATCTTTTGCAAAGCAAACTATTTTTCTGAAGATAACTTTACAAATCAATTTTTCATATGCAGCATTATTTAAAATAGTGCAGTGTTCATTCATTCGAAAGAAGTGCCATTTAAACTTAATAATTGTAGTTACATTAACTAAAATACTTGTAGTAATGCTATATATCTGAATAAAACAGTGATATATTGAAATAAGTGCAACTGTTGACCCTAAACATAATAGACAAATAGGGGAACTGATGCTCCAATAATTCTGCCTGTTGCTGTCAACTCAAAAATGAATTTTATAACGAATGCTGACAGAGTGATGTTGCTTAAACCTTTATTTATTGACCATTTATTCATTAATTCTTTTAGAGAGGTTTCGCCTGGTTGTGTTGATGAACTTTAAGTAAGATATTCTTGTTTTTTGAAAAATTTGGCACTATATATCTAACTTTATCAATAGTATCTGCAGTTTTAGTTATAACCAGTGCTGCTGTCTGCTTCTGGTGGAACTACCTGACAACACCTTTGTTTTATCCTAGATTACCCTAAATTGAGAGAACTCTCCAAGCTTGAGCTCATGCTCAGATAAAAACATAAGACAAATGATTCTATAACATAGATCCTTGTACTATTATCATGAAATAATAATCAAACAATTCTTAATTCATTGTTTTTAAAAATTTTAATAACTAAAATGTCTTAGGATTTTAGGCTTTATTAGAGGTATTAATTTACATCTGTTATGGAAATAATTGGTGTTTTAGTTTGGTAATCCCAATGAGAAAAATGTGCCTGGTCTTTAAATAATTATAAAATATATCCATAAGTCTAAATGAATGCAATTATTCAAACTTAATTAACTCACTTTCAACATATGTTGTGTATCTTAGCTGAAGATAGAAAATTAAATAAGCCATTCAGTTGATTTCAAACATACTTTAACATGTAAATGATCAGTTTTTAAAATTAGTTAATTTATGTATGTTACTGTGAAAGACCGAAATTAGAGAATGTAGATATTTTTCGGTGAATGTCAACACATACAGAATACATTGGTAAAAGACCGAATATTTGGTTATAATTATTATACATTCAAACAATTGTATGTAAACAAGCACAAATAAGCTTTGATGCAGGTTGAAACAACACCTGAGAAGCCGATGTCGGCAGAGGCGACAATCTGTCGCCAAATCCTTTGTGGGTACCTGGAGATAAGGTTGTACCTCTCTTTCCGACAACGGTTTTGTGGAAACTGCCCACTTTGTCACTGGATGGCATTTTTGTTGTTTTGATCCCGTGAGGTGGCGATTGGTTTGTCAGTCGAGTGGTGGAGGATGAGAGGGGTCGTCGGTAAGGCGTTGGCAATATTCAAATAAAAAACACCATTAACAGATCAATTTGTAATTTGTAAAGAAAGTGGAGGGTAAGGATATACACACAATCATTACAAAAAGAAGTGTTTCACGAATAAATGCAGTTGTAAAAGCAAGGGACTCTTGTGCAATTCAAAGTGCCATAACAGTTTAAATTGTTGCAATAAATAAGATTGTATAACATTAATCACATAATTTGTAAGTTTATTATTGTATTATTTTCTTTAATGGTTTAGAATGTACTGTTCATTTTAGGTTCAACAGTTTATTTACATGTGCTGTTACTAAAGCTTTCTCCTATTTTGACATATTAAAAACTTGCATTTTTGTCTTGATGTAATAAAAATATTTTTATTCAACATTCACCATCAGTGCATGCTGAATGTCGACATTTGCTGGTGTAAATGAGAAATAATGATATTTAGCAAATATTTCATGCATACATGAAATGACTGTGTGAATGCTGACATTTGCCAGATATTGGTCATTCACAGTTACATATATATTTGTGTTTTAACTTTTGTTTTGAAGGGTAAAATGAAACCACCAATCATTTTTATTGCTTTAGCTTCTGTTGTCCTATCCTAAAACCCTCCATTTACACGGGAAAACAGAACGGTTTTAGGCTAAACCGTTTTTCCAGTGAAACTTTTGGCGCAAATTTTGCCCAGTGATTTGATGCAGTTACGCATCAAATCACTGGGCAGTTTGCTCTAGATTTACCCTAAATATAAGTCTATCCTGAACATTACCCTTAGAGGTTGAAATTACCCTAGAAACAGCAGCACTGGTTGTGACATTGTAACATCAATAAAATTTTAAGTATATTGTGCCAAAATGAACTTTATCTAAGATATGATAAAGGGAACAAGTCTTAAGTTGTGGTAAATATGAGGGAAATAAGTATCATACTTTCAAGTAGAGACAAACAATAACTGCCAATGGGTATTCTACACATTAAAAGTTGCAATCTGATATTTTTAAATACTAATTCTGCAGATGTTCCAACATACGCCTTGGAACAAATAAATTTGTTTCCAAAATCCATTAAATTTTAGTTTGTAAAATCAAGGTCAACAATGTGTAATATATGAAAATAGTAACAGTTTAAAGAATGAATCTTTGTTTTAACACACCATAATTTAGCATTACTGTAATAGGTGTTAAATATATTCTAAAGTTCACACAATCAAAAACTTAGAACATCTTTAGGATTATAAGTAGTTATTTACCAATATAAACTACATTTTTTCCTAATTTACTTTATTGTGTAACACCACCTAGAAAAAATGTTAGAATTAATTAATTATAGGTGTAATTATTATATTTAATCAGTTTATGCTCTGACTTTTTCATTGACAAGAGAATCCAAATTAGTTTTCATTAATTTCCCGCCTTTAACATTCCATATGACTTAACAATCTTATTAGTCTTATTATTAATGATATTTAGAGAAGTGTCACAATGTATTTGTTTACAATCCAACTCGTGCACACAATGCCATCATATGTATTTTTATCTTGTATTTGGAACATTTGAGGTTCTATCTTCATATTTTTAAACGAGTAATCAGGATTCTATTATTGTAAAAAAATCATTTAGCATATCATAATTAAGAATGCAATTTATTGTAAATATTTAAACTTGAGATGGTTCTGCACATTTAGTATTCACCAACTGCCAAATAATTGTCTGTTAGTCCCTTTGATTCGGCAGTGTACCGATCAGGAGCAGGAAACAGCAAATACCAAGTATTGGTCACAAGTAAATTGTCCGCACTATTTGGTATCAGCCAAGCATTTGGCATTTGGTAAATACCAAACCTGTGGAGTTGCCTTTACACTAGTTTGAACAAAGAATTAGTATAACAGTTTTATAAAGTTTTTTATCCTGTTGCACCTTATATATATATAAAAATCTAAACTCTATGTACCATTTGTAAATTCAAATTGTACATCACATAAGTGTGTGCTTAATTATAAAACAAGTATTTTAATTTGTTTCTTTAATTTGGTTTGTTCTCTGTTATATACAGCAAAAAAAAATCTTAAATGCAGTTAATCCAGAAAATAAATTTATTGTGCAGTCAGCAGTACATTTATATATTAAACTGTTTGCAAAATATGGCAAAACTATTTGTATTTTGTTTGCTGTGTATTACTTTGTAATATTTGTTAGAAAAGTAATTTAAAATCTGGTATTTTTTTATGTAAAGAAGTTTTTTAAAAGAGAAAATTTCTACTTTTTCATAGAATTAAAATTATTGTAATTGAGGTTGGTTGAAGCTTGTTCCACGACCCGTTAGTCGAGAATGATAAGTGCCTGATTTCGATACAAGATTATTAATCAGCATGACATTTATTCCACTTTTGTATGAGATAAAAATGAAATTTTCTGGAATAAATTCTTTTTAGTATGTTGTTTAGATCTCTTGAAATATTTTATCATATCTTTAATTTTTTTCATAGTTGGCGTGGATCCAGAATATTAACGATTTTTACTTTATTGTAAAAAGTTTGAAACTGCATGATATTTGAATAAATATTAAAAATAATTTTTTAAATTTCTTAACTCTAGTGAATTTATATATAATAATTTGATTGCAGTAGAAATTTAATATTTTTTTTTTAATGATATAAATACTTTCTTATATGTTTTAATATAAATTTAAAGTCTGTTTTTAAAGAAAATAAAAATTGTTATCATTGAATTACAAAACAGTCTGAAAATGTTATAAAACTTGGCACCAAAATATAATACAGTCGACCCCCCTATAATTACGATTCCTATAAAACTACGAAAAAATATACGTATTTTGGAAATGTTGAGTCGGATTAGTGTAGAATCGATTAATTTTATGGAAGAAAACCTTTCAATCAGCCGTAGTCCATAAACTTGACATGTGTCGGACTGTGATTGGAACGACTTGTAAGAAATCGGATTCCTAATAAATTGGAACGTATCTATATCTTATAGGGGGGTCGACTGTA